TTGTTACAGTCTTCTTCTTGGTTCTCTTGTACACGCATCAATGATGACGGTGCTTGCAAATCCTGATATCTTGACTTCAGTGTGGGAGTTAACCCACGGATAGACACACCACATGTTGACGGTTCCCGCAGATCTTGTGTGTCAGGTGATGTTGATACGTCGTGACGAACCAGATTGTACGGACCTCGATCCTGGATGTCCACATCCAGGACGGCTTCATCCTGGATGGCCAGCGCATCTGGAGCCGTGTAGACACTCCACACACGATTACCAACCATTGCTGCACTTGTTCATCCAGGGCAAACTTGCATTGATCTTGAATGCTCCTCGCCCTTGGAGTCAATCTTGGTTGCCAGTCGTCATACATCACTTAGTAACACTGCTGGGATGCTCGTTGATATGTTCGCAGTTTGAAGTTGGTAGCTGCAACACCAGGGCGGCTCAAGTCAGGCCAGGTGGCTACCCGAGACACATTTTCCACGGCGCTTCTCAACCTTCCTGGTTCACCTGTCGTCAGGGTATCCGCGACTCGGACCGAGTGGTTTACATCATCCTGGATGGTTCTAAATCCTGAATGCCCATTCATCCTGGATGACCACTTCTGAGTTTATGGTCGCTTCCATGAATACACACCTGCTAACTTTATTTCCATCCCGAATTGTCTTCCTCCATGTCTCGCGCAGGCGACAGCTCTGAACATATCGTTCTCGATCAATCAGCACACTATTTCACTCCCTCATTCATTCATCTCGCAAATGGCAGTCCACATCGCCACAACTGCCCCTCTGTTCAGGATCTTTCACAGAGGAAATCACCACCGAGGCGAACGACCCTGACCAGACTACATTTACATCCAACTAATCCAGGGCGGTCCTTCTTCCGGAACGACCCGCCCGTTGCACTACCCCTTTCGCTTGGCACCAAGGCAAGTCCTGTCATGTCGTGGGTACTCCAGAGATTTCCACTCACAACGCACAACGCGAAATCTCCTCTGCTCGGCAACTCACTTCCTTCTCAAGCACACAAATGGTTCTCCCGGCGGCCAACCCGTCTCCTAGCCTGGAGCAACTCCCGTCGGTCCCCAGTGGGGTGGCCAACTCGGCGGGCGCCAATGTGTCTGCTGGCAGTGGGGACTCTCATGGCGACCGGGGTGACCGACATCCAGCATCCTCGACAAGGTCAGTCTCACAAGGCTCCTCTCCAGAGCACACGTCTTCTTCTCCACGCCAGGGGCCCGCTGGCGACACGGTGGACTCTGATAAACCGATGTTGGAGAGCAAGGACTCGGCTGCTGGTACGACAGACCTCGGCACACGCTTGAACATAGCTTCACGCGTCGTCAACCGCTTACAAGCGATTACGCAGCGAAATTCTATCCCGTTGCCAGCAAAAGATCGTTCTGCGATCGTCCCAGAAGTAGTGCCTGCCGGTTTCCCTCATTCCGCGACCCACAGTCCGTCCGACCACGCCTTTTTCGTGGGTATTCCTGCGTGGCCCCAGCATCTCGCCGAGGCAAGTATACCAGGGATGTTTATGGGGGTCTCGAAGTGATGCAGTGTGTCGATGGCCTGACTGCAGCGGATATCCAGGATCTGGCTTCACTAGTTGGCCACGATGGCGACGTGGATGACCTGGTTTTGCGTCCTCGCCCTGATCGACCCCTCGACGTGGTCGGCCTGGAGGGCATGTTGAATTCGTTGATTGTTCGTCAAGAATTGGCCTCAATTCTATCGCACTATCGCCCGGATAGACTGGCCCAAAAGGTGTTCGCCGCGACATTCCTAAAACGACTCCGGGACAAGTTCTGACACCTTCACGCTCAAGTGGAGGCCAGACATCGTACGGCTGTCCAGGACATGTTGGACTTCCAGAACGAGACTACCAGGGTCAAAAGCTGACTACGCGACGCTACATGAGTTCTACTGGGGTGAAGCTCGTCCTTTGCAAATGTTATTGGTCGCCGCTGATCACCGCCATCAGGATGATCTCCGTGGGATCATAGCTGAGCACGAGCTAGAAAAGCGCGTCCTTCAAGGAGAGATTTCCGAATTGCGTTCCCAGGTGGACAGTCTTCGTCTGACAAATCGAGGCTGCCGTGGAACGCGTCGTCTCGACGTGCCTCGCTTCATGAATTTTCTGATTCGCAACCAAACCCGCGTCAACGATAACTGAGGCCTACTGCAGAGCTTACTTAAACGTTTTCGTGATGACGATGATCCAAAGAGTAGTTGAAGCACTCTGATCGCGGTTACCGCGGTGGATGACCCGTTCGCCCAGAATATACCCTTCACGGTATTAGCCGAACATGACTCGGGTGACGGGACCAAGGACAATAGTGGTGACCAGGGCGGCGACGTCCAGGGCAGCCACATTCCGGTCGGCGATAACACCATTGATTTGACGCAGCCTGATTCTGGTGCCAGTGGATCTCCCTCGCGGAAAACACGTCGACCAAGACACCATCTAACGTGGATCTGCACTCAGGGTCCCCGAGTCTCCACAACTGCGACCTACTGGCTGAAATCCCACCAAGGGTGCTCTCCTTCGGATAAGTTGATGTTCTCGGAGGCGCATATGCGCGACATGATGAAAGACGAACCATACACTCCGCCCTGACGTCAACCTGCTGCTGCAGGCGGGATCGGTTATCTGGGCGCGATCTCAATGCTCAGTAAGGACATCATGATTTACAATTTGTTTCCCCCAGCTGCACTTGCTACCATGCTCACGAGCATGATGTTTTGGAATCGTCTCGACGAGTTACTATGGTCCGGGTACGTTCTTGAGCGTTAATACATTCGCGCAGTATTACTCTTGGCTGACGCGCATTCTGAAGGTATGCGCCCAGACTTCTGGCCAGACCTCGTCGACGTCGACGTTCGTGATGCTCAAGACGTGGTTGACGACACAAGCAGTACCTCCAGCGGCGTGCAACTTACAATCCGGAACAAAAGGTTGACGTTCAGGACGACGACTATGTCCAGGGATCGAGCGATGCTCCCTCTAGCTACCAAACATTGTCGCACGTCCGTGTCCTCTCACACAGGGTCGGTCGTGACGCCGCCGGCTACTTTGACGAACACACCTTCACGGCGCAACCGGACTGGTAGTCTACGTCGCCAACCCCCTTTGGCTCGTATTGATTCTGGTGCACTTATTGTGGCTGACTCAGAGATTGTGGAGGTTCCTGGTGCTGGCGTGTCGTCTTGGCGGCATTAAGCATCCTGGTGACGTACACTCCCGCATCAGCTCACGCGGTACACCAGTCTGCAGGGTTTCCTGACTACGCGCCTAACAAGGTGGGTGCGATTCAACCCCTCAAGCAACGGTTCATTCTGGGCGACGTTCAAGCACTATTGGCGACCGAACCCTGGGCGAATATGTTGAAGACGCGTGTGAAGCGCCTGGTGCTGCATTCATACAGCGTGTTGACACCACGCGCCAGGTTGGCTCTGGACAAGTACATCAGGTTCATGGAAGGGAACACAGCATGCTTCTGGCATGGCAGTCACTGGTTCGCTATCGACTCGTCCACTCAGGGTGGCGCCGGCATGCGGCACGAGCGCAAGCACCAGTGATATGCACTGACCCGGACTATGGAGGTTAAGTACCGCAAGTGCATCGCCGATGGCGCGCCTTGCACAATTTTCTGGGAGACGGCATACTGGACTTTGCCTTCGAAACCGTGTTACTGGATATTAATGGGTTCAGTGATCGTGGTAGTCCCTATTTCCTGGCTGAACAGCTAGAGATTCTGGACCGTCGTGAACAAGCGCTAGTGCAGTGGGCTTCCGGTGAGGAACGTGGATCACATACCCAAGTCCGTGTCGGTGAGCATTCTTCCTCCGTTAGCTCGCCAGGACAACCCAACTTCGTACACAAACGATTGAAGTGGCCATCTACATATTGTTGTCACAGTAACGTGAGTTGTCGTGGGCTAAACCAATGCATTCTAATACATGTCATCTTCATTTCACTCTGGTTGTCTTTGTCCATTTTAGTCCAGAGCGCATTTCAAAGTTACGAAAGACGGTTTGACCATCCAGAATTCAAAATACGGTAGAGCCATCCAGAAATACAAGTTATCCACACAAGCAATCCACAATCGAAAATATCCAAAAAAAATCAAAACAGTTCACAAAAATCATCGGTCTGAGTCAGGGTTAGTTGGCTATCCAGGATCAACGGATGGGCCCAGCTAAACCTAAGGATAGTCATCACCTGTCTGCATCGCCTTGAAACGCGCTCTGGCTCTGGAGCCCTGGTTGAAATCATACAACAGGGCTCCACAGTTGAGTTGCGACAGTGGTATCCATTCAGGATCGACATACCCTTCCATTTGACAATATACTCGCGAGTCCTTCTGGATATGCCGGTACGTTTGGTCCATCGGAGATCCAGGATTCGTTCCACTTCATACCCATCATTCTGGTTATCTTCTTCCCATCTGTATTCAGGTAACAATTCGGCATCCAGGCTGTCATTGGCATCTAGGGTGATTTCATCGACGGGTCTTCTCGGGGATAACGCCTGAGGTTTCAGGCGACCTACATGCACCCATCGGTTTACGCGATATCCGGTTCCATCGATTTTCAACTTTACCCTGAAAGCATCGTGGACCTCATCGATCCTGAATGGACTATGTCATACGTGTGCCAGTTTGTGTCTCAATCCTGCTTGCATCTTGGGTATATACAGGCAAACTGTGTCGCCCCTTTCGAATCCAGACTTCAAACGCTTTGAGAGCTCCTTCCACTTCTAGGTCTGAGCTTCCGATCTCATGCGCTTTGTTTCCTTCAGGAGGACCTTAGCACAGGCTCGTGCATAGCTGTAGTCGCTCTAAAACTTTAGCCTCCATTCATAACGGACAATGGAGGCGATCCATTCTTGCAGGCTGGAGGGCTTAGGTCCCAACGTGGAGGATACAGTGCCCTGGGCATCGCAACCATGGGCCTGATAGAATGACGTATCCAGACGAGTTGCATCAAAGGATGCGTTCAGGGCGAACATCAGTCGCTCGGCGTGGTCATCTGACTGGTCTGCTTCAGGGACATACGCCCGCACACTCTGAATGACAGTCTGAACTGAACGTTCTTGTTGCCCATTGGCATCGGGTCGGTAGCTCAGAGTGGACCTTTGACGACTACCTAGAAGTTCCCTGAATCGTGTGAAAACCTCACTCGTGAACCTCGGGTCTTGATCGTGGCGGATCATTTTTGAAGCGCCGAACATCCTGAGCACATGTTCTCTGCTACGTCCTGGGCTGTCGTGGATGACATTGGTTTGCACATCACGAGTCCTGAAGACATGTCTGGAACAAGAGGAAAAAGTATTTCCTCGCTTTGACTTCGGCATATGCGTCACGAAATCCATCGAGACTACTTCAAATGGTCATCTTGGTTCGATGTTTCCAGGAGGCGGGCCAGGGTTGGACGTGTGTCCCTTTCCACTCGCACAATCAGCACACTCCTTGACATGACGCTCCACGTCTGCGTACGTCTCGGGCCAGAAGAATTCAGAGCGCAGCTTTTCAAGAGTCCGTTTGATGCCCTGGTGGCCACCCTGAAAGTCCTCATGAGCATAGTGCAGGGTGTCTTCTCTCAGGGTAATTGGTACCATCAGGCGCAATTCGTCCTGGGCGTCTCGAGGTCTGCCGCATGTGAACGGCGCCAACCGGGACAGCACGTCACAGGTATCCGGGGCGAATAAGTCTGCGACCTTGATGATCTTTCGCAACTGGTGAGGTACAAAACGATCAACATCTCCATTCAGGAAATCGCTTAGGTCGCACAAATATTCGTCTTGTTCTTGGTGCATCTTGGTCCGTCGCCATCTCTCGCGTTGCTATTCAAGCGAATAGAGTGGTTCCGATGATATCAGCCTCGCTTAGGTCGCACAAATATTCGTCTTGTTCTTGGTGCATCTTTGTCCGTCGCCATCACTCGCGTTGCTATTCAAGCGAATAGAGTGGTTCCGATGATATCAGCCTGCTTAGGACGCTAGCTCGTATCACGGCAACAAAAAGTTGGCTGCATACGGCAACGGGGCCGCTATGGCATCCAGCCAGATTCGGCAAAAGTTGTGGAGTGTGATCGTTTTCACAACCAGTACACCCTAAAGTGCCACATCCTGGAGGTCCATCATCCTGGGGGTCCAAACGTAGATAGTTCAAAACTTCCTGGTCTACTTCGGCCTTCTCTTCTGGCAGCAGACGCACGAAACCCCACCGGCTATTGTTAATCACTTGCTGGTAGACCAGTGGTGCTTCCTGGTCTACTTCGGCCTTCTCTTCTGGCAGCAGACGCATGAAACCCCACCGGCTATTGTTAATCACTTGCTGGTAGACCAGTGGTGCTGGTTTTAGGCCAAACATCATTCGAATCTACTGGAAGTGTGCAAAAGGACATACGAAAGCCGAAATCAACTTGGCCTTTTCAGTCACCCTAATTGCCAGAAACCGCTAGCCATCTCCAGGCTCATGAACCAGAGCGTCTTTTCGAAACCGACTAACAAGTTGTTGATTAGAGGTAGCGGGTAACTGGACAGCTGGATGAAGTTATTCATAAGTCGATAGGCAATACACATCCCGTTGGCTACCCCATTCTTCTTGAGTACGATCACGTTTGGAGATGCCCATTGCGATTCTGAATGTTCAATCAAATTGTTCTCGAGCAATTTCTTGAGGTGTTCATACATCTTGACTGCTACGTGCGGGCTAATTGACCTTGGTCGCAGCGTGATAGGTTGGGCATCTCCCATATTGAGATCACATACCGCTCCTCTGGCGGGAGCTGGTGCAGCAATTCCGTCTCCCAGGAAACCATTTCGATGGCGCTTCAGGATCGCACGCATCCTGGATTCAACTTCAGGGGAGGCCTCGCCTGGGACTCCTACATCGATCTGATCGATATCACATTCCAGATGCAATTCACTCAATTCTGGCAACACGACCAATTGGTCTCGCAAGTGTGCCAGCACGTCACTGCCTTCGTGGATGTACACGTCTGGTTCCAAATTCAACTCTTCGGCGCTAACCCTCATACAGCGCCCGTACTCCATGTCCAACTTCTTGAGTGGTGGGCACGATGCTGCTTCTGGATAAGATCCAGGGTTGTTGGGTTCAAGGTATATTTCCAAGGACATTTCACAGCCCTGGTGATCCTCGAGTTCGATAGTCAATTCTGGAGGCGTTCCACAGGGGTATAGCCTCGGTCATCATCTTGAGTGCATCCTTCGCCAGGATCGCATTCATGCTTGTCTAGCTGACTCTCGCTGACCTGCGTGACTACATCCATTCTTGTTGTCACCAGGACGTTTTCTTCCGTCTGCGTGCTCGCATCCACCAACCTTCCACGATTCAGCATCCTGAGTTTCGGGGAGGGGGTTCTTGTAGTTGGGCCATATTGACTTCTACAGATCCTGATTGGGTTCTCAGCATAATGCTGGTCGGTCACTAATAACCCGTCTTCGGCACGCACGGAGGCTCTCGTTCTCGTAGCGCCTGTTGCCTTCGTTGGGCTCTGATCCTGTCTTGCTCTGCCTGGGCGTGCTCCAGGATCAGGGTCTACCAATCGCGATAACCTCGTGTTCCAGAGCGAAAAAAACACCATGCCTGCGGAAATGACCCATATTGGACAATCCTGGCGAGCGGTGTCTAGACTATGTTTCGACACGTTCACCACCTTGATCGCCACCGACCAGGATCTAGCCTGATAGACAATCTTGGTTACCCACCTGTCACCTCGTCCAGCCCAGACGACTTCTCATTCTGGATTCGTATGTACAGGCGCACGACTGTGTGTTCTCCGAGCAAGATATACAAAATTTTCTGGAGACGTGACGGGCACGTCCACAGCCTCAGGTGCCTTGACAGCATCATCGTACATCAAGATGGACTCTTCATCCATTACACTAACCCTTCTTGAACACAAACTCGTACTCCTGCTCGGAACATGAAGTCCATAACTAGAAGTACATCCAATCCATCACCAATGTTAGCCACCCACAACTCCATGATATAGACCACCCTGGATCTCAGGGTTATCTTGACTTCCGCACTCGCCGTGATCTGAGTTGGAATACCTACACCTTCACTTGATTTGTCGATTGAGGTTGAGCTTGAGTTACGCACTAAATCCAAACCAATCATACTCAACGACGCCCCGGTATCCAGGAGTCCTCAAGTCCTCACATCGGTCACGGCACCATGAACCATAGCAATCCTACGCTTGAGTTACGCACTAAATCCAAACCAATCATACTGAACGACGCCCCGGTATCCAGGAGTGCTCAAGTCCTCACATCGGTCACGGCACCATGAACCATAGCAATCCTACGCTTCTCCTTTCCTCGCTGGTGCGTAATCCACCACCCATAACGTTCTCCATCCCGGAGCGGAATTCCACAGGGAACTCTGGGTAAGTGCCATCTGAATGAAGTAATCCAGAAGGGGTTAACCCTGAACTCATGAAATTTTGAAACATAAATTTCATGCATTGTTGGTTATATTGGTTCTTGGTTCTCAACTCAGGGCCAACATATACTAAGGCGCACATTCCTGGGGTCTTACTATGCCCGTCGCGTACTGGACCCTCATCCAGCGGGCTTAGTGATTTAATGACGCGTTACCAGGATCCGCCTTGGCAGCTAGGAGTCGGTTCAGCATTAGAGTGGGTTGGCCTTTCACGATGCCCTGGCGGGCCAATCGGACTCCAACATCTCCCAATCTTCACAGCGGTCATCATGGAACTTACCACACTTCTTGGACGGCAGGGTCTTGCACAGCTGAGTCGGATGTCCAGTCCAATGACAGTTCTCGCAGATCAGGTCTGTCCAGCAATTCTCGGCGCGATGTCCGATGCCATTGCAGTTGTCACAACTCATATCCCGATCAAAGTTGTTGTACCTTGGTGATGGTAATCCTGAGTTGCCGTTGTTCTGATGGGCATTAGCCTGGTGTGCTATATTCCCATGCTTGTTCTATCCTGAATTATCCATGACCTTGAGCACATGTTAGGTCAGTTCTATGATGGACATGCTAGGGGCTTGATTTTCGACAGACACTTCCCGAGGCTCGACCGCTTCCTGGGTCTTGGGACTCTCCTGAAATTCACATGTCGCTCATCCGATACGGACTCGTCACCGCTCTACGCAACACAGGCTAGTCCTGGGTACGTGATTTTTAGTCGCCCCTGACTGAGGTTTATCTGCCCTGGAGTCCAGTGTCTTGGTAGACGAAGCGTTATGACTTTCGCCATTCCAGTCGTCCTCCTTCTGTTTCAACACATATTCCAGGTCATCCATGCTCTTGAATCGTTGACACTTCAGGATGTTCTTCAGTTGTGAATCCACCAGTTGATGTGTAAACCGCTTGACGGGCTGCTCACGGCGTCGCTCAGACTTCTTGTAACGGATGTCGGCGCGGTCGGCCGTAGCATTCGGGCGGTACAAGAAATCCGGGGGGTCTCCACCTTGCGTTGCTTCATGGTGTAGTGCTTCTCTGAGGCGGACATATTGGACTTGCAATATTTCGTCCTGAACTCCTAGGAAAATCTTGTCCGGTAGCGAGGCACATGCGGAGACAATTTTGAACGCCAGTTCCTTGCCACTGATAGCAACTTCAGGCGAAGCCCATAGACTTTCAACTTGTCGCCCCATCCGCCCTGGAAAACCAACGTCGGAAAACGTTCCCACCAGCGAGTACGCTCTGAGAGAGAAGCTTTATCGTCAAAATCATCCAGAGAGCTCGCAATCACGAATGATCGGATAGTCATCGTGGTGGTGCCGCCCTGGGATTGTCTTGGGAACAACCATGTCACTGAGCGGTTCACAGAAGGAGCTATCCGAGTCATCAGAGCTAGAGTCCCTGTCGTCGTCTCCCGAGCTCGGGTCCGAGTTGAATGGGTATCCGCCACGGCGAGCCTTCGATGCGGACAATGTCGTCACCAAGAAGGTGAAGTCTAGCGACAGGGAGGCCGCTGCCGCCAGGGCAGACGCCCCCTGGTTGCACAACTCAAGGCTACCCTCCAGAGTTTGAACGTGGCAAAACAGAGGACTAGAGCAGCGACTACCGTACCCGCAGCGATGAATGCCGACGTGGGAACCAAGGCGACGAAGTTCCCGGTGCCTAAGTCATCGGAGAAGGCCAATACGAAAGCCAAGAAGGTTGCACCCAAGGTGCGTGCGTCTTCTTGCGTCTAGCTGGAAGATCGCAATTCCCGATTCCGTTTTGATCTGAGACACCGCATCTGAGAAGGGGTCACTGTCGCATGTTGAACCTGGGCGGAGGCTGCGCGAAGGTCGCGTAACTGACCGCTTGAAATTTCTGGATACCCTTCGCCGCTTTTCGTTCTCGTTCACGTTTAGCTTCCATCTCGCGCAGTTGCTGCTGGGGGATAGCTATTTGTATGCTCGTGTTTTTCTAGATGCCGTCTACCCAGGGCGCACGCTCAGCTTCATCCTGAATCCGTTAGATCATGAGACGCTCGGCGAAGTCAACTTCGGTCTGAAACGGCTTCCCCTTGAATCGCTCTTCAGTCTCCTTCGCCACGCGAAGTAGTTCGGCCTGAATGGCGGCCTCAGTGCGGACCGCCAGAATTGCCTCTTCAGCTTGGCGTTTCTGGGTGAGCTCTGACTGGATGCGAGCCAGGGCTTCTTGAGTCTGGCGCATCGTGTTCAGTGCAACCTAGGACACCCCAGACATGGAGGGTCGACCCGACCGGTTAGACCGCTCTGAATGCGTTCGGCGGCCGACGCCTTCCTGGATGACCGATGACTCCTGATGTCTTTGCGCCGATGACAAATGATTACGGAGTCAGAACCAGTTGATAATCCACCAGAATTATTTTCTTCGCGTTGGGATCGACGCACCCTGGAATGCCTCGACCTGCGTTCGCTCTGGAGGCCGACTCCGACATAACGACATCGTCGAGCTCTGCCATCTCTGGCGGCGGAGGGAGGACAGTTTGAATGTCAGGCATCTCCATCTGAGCGTCTGCCTGGATGATTCCACCATGGGCGGTCATCACCATGGGAGTATACGCTCTGAACGGCATATGTCCGACTGCAGGTTGTGCAAGGGATCACTCGGACGAAGACGATGATTCCTCCTAGGACGACTTTGATCCTAAAGCACCACTGCGGGTCGACTCGATAGAACCTCCTGATGTGCTGAATTGACTTGGGACAAAGTCCGATCCTGCCCTCGATGGCACGTTATGGATGGAGGACATGGTCTCATTCAGGGTGGCCACGCTCTGGCTGTTCGCATCGGATGAATGGTCCGACGGCAGCGAATTCAGCGACGGTGTGGATAAAGACACCGGGCGAGGCGGAACATGTTGTTGCTGCTTGGGGTCAGGCACACTGCTTGGGGATCCTTGCGGACTTCTCAACTCTCGCAGTCCAGACATCCTGAGTCATAAGACGAACTCTCGACCCAGAAGTCCGGCCTCATGATCCGTCATGAGTAGGTCTCCGTCAGCATCTTCCACATGGTAATCCTGGATGGTCAATGGTTCCTCCTGTTTGGAAAGTCACCCCGAATGCAACTTGGCGCCATTCGATGATCTCGTTAGTTAGAAGGTGTTGGATACCTTCCACTGTCATCCTGACGTGATTGGTGCGATCTGCGACGCCTGTGAGCGTAACCATGCAGGGATCACATTTCGGAAACTGATGCCAGACTCAACCAGTAGCGTTTGGATGAGAACAACAAAATCCCGCGGCGATAGCATGCTCGGCGGGATCACGGTCGGCGTGACGTTCTGGGAGGTGGACAGCTCGGAGCGGACAAGTTGTAGATCGGAGATCCACGCTTCATCCAGGGCTGCTGATGTCGTTCGCACGTCAAC